CATGTCCTCTATGCTCTAACTACGAAAATATTTGATTTACAAATAAGGAATCCTACTTCACGGAATTTCATTTATCACGGTAGGGTCTAGAACCGATTAACCGCGATAAACGAGGGTTCACTGTAAATATATTTACATCTGTATATGCCTGTATTTAGATCTCTACAACTACCCTTTGCCTCCTAGTTCTTTCCCTTCTTTCTTTGTTCTTTCCTCATGTCCCACTATCATGTTCAGCCTTCATTTGGGTTTTAGGAATTCCTCTCGATTACATTGCCCTTGATCCAGCCCTGCCAGACCTCTTATACCCTTCTTGCCACTGATTTTGGATCACTCCTTGTTCCCTTGTCCCTGTGTTTGGTAACACCCACTTTCTTTCCCCTGCCTCCTCTTCTCCCATGTCCCCCCAGAACTGTCATCCCATTGTTCTCTCTTCCAGCTTGTTTATCTCTCTTCCGCCTCTCCCTTCCAGGTAGACAGGCTATGTACCATCACAAGACTGAGTACAACGAAGCAACAATAGAAAGTAAAACAATAGCTATAACAACAACAACAACACACAAGAAAACCCTATAAATAGTTCAGGGCCTATTTGTTGTCCTTCACAAGTGCTTTCCAGTCGAGTCGGATGGGGTGCCATGGCCTGGCCCCACATCTATCCCTGGGGACTTCATTGCTCTGCTCCACTGCTGCTCTGCTGCATGCCCCCAGAGGCTGGGTTGGGAATAGTGAGCTCAGGGTGGGCACAGTTCCCATGTTGTATCTCTAGTGTTGTGCCCAGTGGTGCTATGGGTCAATTAGGATCGCTGTGTCCCGTGGTGATGCCGGCCCTGTGGTCGTCTCTGTGCATTGCTGCTCTGAGCAGAAACATTGTCGTCAGGGCTTGGTGAGCCATGTGCTTCACTCTTTTTTTTTTTTTTTTCCTTTCCCCCCTCGTTGGCTCCTGTGTGCTCTGATCAGACAAGTCCCTCTTCTTGAGTTGTAGCTTCAGTGCTGTCCTCTGAAATGAATTCTTCGGGGAGGGAGGGTGGTGCTGTCCACTTAGTTGGTAATGGGGCCGGCTCTTCATAAGCCCATTCTTATGATAGGGCCGGGCCTTGTGTGGAAGAGTAGTCTCTGAAAAATGGTACTCTGATAAATGACTGTACTTCCACATGTAGCAGTATGAGACTGGACTCCTACTTCATACCAAACACACATTAAAATGGATCTCAAGGGCCCAAGTACAGGAAACTAAAACTATAAAACTTAACAACAAAACACGTTATAGAGATGTTACTAGCACTAGAGTGAAGTGAGGGTTTCCTGCGTGGGAAAATAATGTGGGGGGAGAGAATAGGAAGTTAAGGGGATCAGATCAGATCCATACATAATATGTATTCGTAATTGTACTATTCAGATAAGAGTAGATGATAGAAGGAGCAAATGCAGTAACAATTGCAATGATGATGGGGATGTAATGTTTAAAAAGTGGATTGATGTAAGTTGATCACTTGCATTTGTAAAGTGAGGAAGAGGAAGGCGTTTTGCATTTGTTAGTTTGAGGTATTCAGGTGCATAATATCATTCACTGATTTTGAGAATGCAAGTGAAAGAAATTGGTTTTGCTCTTGTTTTGATGGAATGCCTACAGATCTCTCCTTGCCAGGTGCTGAACTGTTGTCTTTGTGGGATTTGTGTGATGGACATTAGTAAGCATTCTGATGTATGTGTGTCTGTAGAGATTTCTGGACAGGAAATAACTTGTGAATCACTATTGGAATAACTAGAAATAATTTTTGAATCAAATCTACCCCACACCAATTTCCTATCATTTTCTATAGAAATAAAATTAAGAATTTATATTTTCCATACGAGTTTTTTGGCACTGTGGGATGTGTTGGGCTACTACTAAGAAAGACATCGCGGTTCAAACCTGCTAGCTCAAAAGGAGACAGATGGGGCTTTCTGTTCCCATAAAGACTCACCATCTCAGAAGCCTTATGGGGGGCTGGGGACTTCACTGGGAATTGGAATGGACTCAATGGCAGTGGGTTTGATTTTGTATTTTATACAAGCTTTTATGATATTACAACATATGTATATTTGTATATATCCATAGCTGTAATAAAGGGTTTCACATCTTCATTCAACATTGAATCACATATTATTTTGAAAAACAGAAAGAAGCAGACTTTTAAAAAAATCTAAATCCTTTCATTGGGGGCTTGTACAACTTTTATTGCAATCCATTGTGTCAAGCACATTTGTACATTTGTTGCCTCCATCATTCTCAAAACGTTTGCTTTCCACTTGGGCTCTTGGAATCGGCTCCTCATTTTCCCCCTTCCTCCCTGCTCCCCCCTCCCTCATGAACCTTTGATAATTTATAAATTATTATTTTATCATATCTTACACTTCCCTGTGTCTCCCTTCACCCACTTTACTGTTGTCCATCCCCCAGGGAGGCAGTTGTATGTAGTACCTTGTAATCAGTCCCCCCTTTCTATCCCACATTTGCACTCTCACCACTGGTCCTGAGGGATTTATCTGTCCTGAATTCCCTGTGTTTTCAGTTATTATCTGTACCAGTGTACATCCTCTGGTCTAACCAGGTTTGTATGGTAGAATTGGGATCATGATAGGGGGGAGGAAGCATTTAAGAACTAGAGGAAAGTTGTGTGTTTCATCAATGCTACACTGCACCCTGAGTAGCTCATCTCCTCCCTGCGACTCCTTTGCAAAGGGATGGAAACAGACATTTTAAAAGCGAATTATTCATTAGTCTTACTAGTATCCCACATTTTTTTTCTCTTCCTCTGTGCTTTGTATGATTGGATCTACCTTGGATTTTCTCAGATTCATAGAGCTATGTATTAGGTAGCAGAGTTAGTATTGTAGCCTACTGCCTGCTAAAAACCCTGCCTCCCATTCTTCTGATAGATTGCCTGGAATAGGTAACCTAATGTATTACATCAGAACTTTTAATAAGTACTGAGATGATATAAAACTCTTCTACTACCATTTCTTAACCTATTTGTTGTTTTTCAGGAAATTACAGACATAGTTTTTAAAGTTGAGCTGTATTTTCAAGCAGCTTTGCTTGGAATCATTGTCACTGCAACGCCACCTTACTTTGCCATGGAAAATGCAGAGAATCATAAGGTAATGGTTAAAGAGAACTACAAGTACAATTAAAAGAATTAAAAGTACAGTTTGCTAAGAAGAAATTACATGCTAAAATGACCTTATTTTATGAGTGTAAGTGTAAGATATACCATTGTTGTTTCAGAAATAAATCAATGGAATAGAATGTATATTATAAATTCTTATTGTAGGAATACCTAGCATTTATTACTTGAGAATTTGCTGTGTGTTTTAAAAATTGCATTTTTTTAATCCTTACAACATTATGACCTAAGTTCTATGCTACTCACTTTACAGGAAAGGAAATTGTGGTTTGGACTCTTCAGAAAACTTGCCCACGTTGATTGACCTTGTTTAAGTGCTAGGTTTAAAATAGGATCTAATCTGTATATTCTTAATTAATGTACTAAACTGTGTCTCCCTTTTAGCCTTTAATAGAAAATATTGAATGTAAGAGTCACTGATTTTTAGTTTAATGAAAAGAAATGATTGTCAACACCACGACCTAGTAATGAAAACTGCGTAGACAATGTTTTGGTGTTTAATCACCTTTTCTGCACCTGTCTTTTTCAAAGTCCTGTTAGTAGATGGTGATATTGTGCAGTCTTCTGACTGTTGACTGCTGCCCAGCATTCTGTTCTTCTGATAATGTTACACTTATATGAGAGTATGTAGAAAAGTAGTGCTGTAAAATCATAGAATTCTTTATAAAACAAAAATATAAAAATGTGAATTACAGCTTTTTAAACACATCTCACATCAAGGTATTAAACGTGTCTGTGTGCCCTCAGTTTTGTTAGGGTGCTTTCCAGAAAATAAAATAAAGATGTCTAAACAAAATAGTGGCTTCTGAGGGAATCCTCTGCACAGCTCAAAATATTATGGTGACTTTTTTTGTATTCCAAAGGGATAATCAAGTGATTTTCATGAAGGACACAGGATAGTCATGGGTGTTGATTAGAATGAAGGTTTAAGAGAACTGAAAACTGCCTCAAATGTGGAAAAAGCCAGGAAAGTTGCACCAAGGAACTTTTCTTTTGCAGCACGACATTGCACCTGTTCATTCTTCAAGGGTAGTGAGGAAAGGACATGGAAGCCATTTCTGACTTCTTCCAGCTGCAGTAGGAAGAAGGGGAATCCAACTCTACACTGGCCTAGTGCCAATTTCCCAAGGCAGAAATCACTCTCGTCTCATCTCCAACTTTCTTTACCTTATTCTGACACCAACTGACCCTCCCATGACATTCTACCTCTCTGCTTTGTTCAATAATCTGTTGTAGTGACAAACAGAACTCAGTAGACAATACTTAAAATTACTGTAAGCTGGCCCAAATATCAGCCGAGACGCCTAATTTTACCACAAAAACTTCATAAAAAATGTGCTGAAAAAACTCGGCTTATCATTTATAGAGGTCTAGATAAAGACATGTACATATGCAAACATATTTATATGAGGATGGGGAAATAGATCTATGAGCCTACATTTATAGGTTTAGTATTTATAGGTTTAGTATTAAGGTAGCAGAAGGACATCATTGGGCCTCCACTCAAGTACTCCCTCAATGCAAGAATACTTTCTTCTATTAAATTGTCATTCTATGATGCTCACCTTCCCGTCACAACCGCTGAAGACAAAGCGGGTGAATAAGCAAATGTGAAGAAAGCTGATGGTGCCCGGCTATCAAAAGATATAGCGTCTGGGGTCTTAAAAGCTTGAAGGTAAACAAGCGGCCATCAAGCTCAGAAGCAACAAAGCCCACATGGAAGAAGCACACCAGCCTATGCAACCACGAGGTGTCGAAGGGATCAGGTATAAGGCATCATCAGAACAAAAAATCTTACCATAGTGAATGATGGGGGGAGTGCGGAGTGGAGACCCAAAGCCCATTAGGCCACTGGAGATCCCCTTGCAGAGGGGTCTCGGGGAGGAGATGAGCCAGTCAGGGTGTGATATAACAACGATGAGAAATACAACTTTCCTCTAATTCCTAAATGTTTCCTCCCCGCTCCCACTATCATGACTCGAATTCGACCTTGCAAGTCTAGCTAGACCAGAGGATGTACACTAGTACAGATAGGAACTGAAAATACAGGGAATCCAGGGCGGATGAGCCCTACAGGACCAGTGGTGTGAGTGGCGAAACAGGGAGGGTAAAGGGAGAGTGGGTAGGAAAGAGGGAACCGATTACAAGGAACTATATGTGACCTCCTCCCTGGGGGACAGACAACAGAAAAGTGGGTGAAGGGAGAAGTCGGACAGGGCAAGATATGACAAAATACCAATTTATAAACTATCAAGGGCTCATGAGGGAGGGGGGAGCGGGGAGGGAGGGGAAAAATGAGGACCTAATGTCGGGGGTTTAAGTGGAGAGAAAATGTTTTGAGAATGATGTACACATGTGCTTTACACAATTGATGTGTGTATGGATTGCGATCACAGTTGTATGAGTCCCTAATAAAATGTTAAAAAAAAAACCTCGGCTTATCAGGGCCTTAAGTGGAGAGCAAATGTTTTGAGAATGATGAGGGCAATGAATGTACAAATGTGCTTTATACAAGTGATGTGTGTATGGATTGTGATAAGAATTGTATGAGCCCCTAATAAAATGATTTTTAACATTTGGCTTATATACAAGTATATACAATATTCAGTTTATTAGGGAAGCCAGTACAGTTCTTTGGTCTGTAGCATCTCTTCTGAGCTGTGCTGACATGAATGTCTCTCTCTGATCCTCAGACTCTAAGCTACATTGTCCCTTGGCTCTGTCCTACTTGGGCAAATGGTACAAAGCTCTTTTAGCACTGAAGAATTCCCAGAGCACATCCTACTCTAGAAGTCTGTCTCCTGCCCAAACACATTCAACTGCACTTGTTACATGAGCTGGGAATCCAGCTGCTCTGTCTCAGGGTCTCAGTGCTGCTCCTCGGCTGCCTCTCTGCAAGGATCTCAGGTGTACTTCACTCATGGTTCTTCTTTCCTGCTGCTCATGGGATTCTCTGTCCTTGCTTTCTGAAGTGGCTTACCTTATACACAGTGGAATGGCAAAACTGACCAATTCCCTTTATTAATTTTACATAGCCTATCTGCATGGTCCCAACCAATGACAGTTTTACAGGCTATAGATAAAAGAGCTATATCAAGTAATTTTATCTTACTACTGGGGGTAGTAGTTGCAAGAATGGGCACAAACATAGGAACAGTTGTGAGGATGATGCAGGAACAGGTAGTGTTTTGTTCTGTTATGCGTAGGGTCACTGTGGGTCGGAGCCGACTTGGTGTCATCCAAGTTGATGACAGCAGGGAACAAGGGCTGGCTAACCTATGAGAATTTCATTCAGAAACTATACCTCACCCACCTCATATCCCTTATCTTGCCTACTCAAACTATGCTCTGCGAAATTAAAGAACATTTCAAAGGAACATGGTTTGAGCCCTTTGAAGATGCGGAAACCGCCATTTTGACGTGTTGTAAATTGAGTGCAGAATTCTGCTGGGGTGGGTTAAAGAAATGAATAGACCACTTTCAGAAGTATATCGGCCTAAACAGGGGAAATAGCAAGAAACAGTAGCTTCACATTTTGATATGTTTGCTTAATAAAGGTTTCTATGATATTGTACCAATACTTTTAACCTACCCTAATATGATCTTGACTTTTGAAAGAATACCAAACTTTTGATACAGTAACTGTAGTATTTTACATCCCCAATCTCTCCCATCCTAGCCAACAGTTGTTATTTTCATAGCCATTCTAGTAGAAATAAAGGCATACTTCATTGCATCTTTCTAATGACTGATAATGTTGAGTATCATTTTATGTGCATGTTAGCCATTTGTAGATTCTCTTTGGTGAACTACCAAGATGTTTATCCAATTTTTTAATTGGGTTGTTTATCTTTATATATTTCTAGATAATAAACCCTTACCGGTCCATTCCTTTTTATTACTGAGTACTCCCATGGTCTGGATGTATCACAGTTTTTAAAATCCATTATCCTTTGAAAGGCATCTGGGTTATTCCTAGTTTAGTATTCGTATGAACAAAGTTACTATGAACATTCGCTTACAGGTTTCCATATGAACATCAGGTTTCATCATGCAGGGACTGATGTCCAGGAGCGTGAGTGCTGGATTATATGGTGGTTGCACATTTGGAAAGAAACTGCTGAATTTTTTTCTGCAATGGCAATACCGTTTTGTATTCCCATCAACACTGTCTAAGATAGATTACCCAAAATAATTATATCTGAGTTGGCTTATGTTTTTATGCTTACATTAAAATTCATGCATATTTTATGCTCTTTTAATTTATTGACTATGCGTGTCCACATTTTCATTTTTAATCCTCTTTTCACTAATCAATATTCCATACTTTGCTTAACCTTGTTGTATAGCCACTGCTTTCTTTCTTCAAGTATTATTAGGGATAGGCGAAAATTTTACCCTGTCGTCAAATATCACCTGAAAAAAATCTGTTAGCTATTTGGATTTATAAAGATCTTCTAAATCTCAGATAATGAGAGCATAAAATGTTTAAGAAAACTAAAATCATTTAGATTTACTGTCAGTGTACCAGTTGCTAATAACTTACATTGTATCACACAAGAAGGTATAAAATCATTTCCAATGCATCACGTATACTAAGTTTCATACTTAAGCTGAAAGAGCTATTTAAATCCAGTGGGTACTTTCCAATTTATGAGTATTTTCATGAATATCTAATTTTAATGTATTACAATTATTTTCCTGTTTAATAAATAACTTTTTGTCAAAAAACTTTCAAAATTATGTTTTGGTTCCTGTGATAATGGGTCATTGTTTGAACAGCCACAACCTTTGTGCCATTTTTCTCTTTAATTTAGTTTATTTCTTAGCAGCACTGCTTTATTCTAATTGTGAAACATTGTTGAAATTGCTATATCTCAGAAATAATGAGTCAAAGTCAAGGGTAAATGGAATTTACATTTAACTGATGAGAAAGAAGTTTTTGTTGCTTGTAAAATGTTAAAAATGATAATTTTGTTCTTTTTGTTTTTTTAGGTCAAGGCTTATACTCAGCTTAAACTTGCAGGTCTTTTTCCATCTGCATATTGGATTGGACAAGCTATCATTGATATCCCCTTGTTTTTTATTATTCTAGCTGTGATGCTAGGAAGCTTATTTGCATTTCATTATGGATTATATTTTTATGCTGTAAAGTTCCTTTCTGTGGTAAGTTAACTCCAGTGTACTTTTGCTATTAGTAAACAATAAGCTGTTTCTTTAAAACTGTGTTTAAGCATGACATCTGGTTGAGTAATCTGAATATTAATTCTTAAAAAACACAGAAACAGCATCTAGTTAACTATTTGTGTTGATATCTACAATCAATGTAGCTTATAAGTGATTTTAAAAAACAGTACGTTTTTCCATTGTAGCATAATTCCTTGAGCCTATAGTGGCCTTTCCTGTAGACCACCTGCTTGTGTATAATCAGGAACACTTAAGTAGTCCTGCCTTAAAATATAGTCACTATATGTTCTAATAGCTGAAAAATATTTTAATTAAAGGAAATATTTAATTCCGTATTACGAATATGCCTTGAAAAAACAAAGCAAGAGTTTGATTTGTTTTTATGTGTGTACATGCATACAAGGGGCTACCCAAAAAACTAGAATTTTTTCAAAGCTATGTATTTAAATTTTGTTTATAAAACAACCTTATCGCCATTACACCAAAGTATACATTACACTTAATACATTTTTCAAATTTGTGATTCCATTCTTGGAAACACTTTTCAAACTCATCTGGTTGGAAGGCTGACAGCACCTCCCTAATTTTTTTTCCTTCACCTCTTCTACATCTTCAAATCGCTGTCCTTTTATGTTCCTCGTCATTTGCAGAAACAAACAGGGTGCATGGAGCAAGGTCAGATGAGTAAGGTGCATGAGACAAGAGAGGCATGCTGGGGTTTTTTCCCCAAAACTGGTGTACTGAAATAGCTGCGTGAATAGGTGCATTGTCGTGGGGGCAACAAAAAAAAAAAAAATCAGGCCTTTTTTGTGGCACACTGTTACACTATCTTTTCAAAACCTCTGAATAGAAAGCTTGATTAACAGTCTGACCTCCAAATGCACTACCAGTTGACATTTTTGTCCATTCTGGAAGTCGACGGTAATTAGTATAAGGTTTGTCATCAATCAACATTTCACTGTTTTTGAAATGAGAAAACCTCTCGTACACTTGAGGTTTTTCCTTAGCACTGGCCTTGTATTCTGTGTGCAACATGACAAGTTGCTGCGGCATTTTTCCTGAGCAGGAAACAAAATCTCACAACTGCATGCTGTTCTATTGTATTGGCCATCACAAAACACGAGGTTCAAGTGAAACAGCTTTCACACGCAAAAAATTCTCTTGACCGGCGGGAACATTCTTAGGTGACGCCACTGTGGGTGCACTTACTCAAAGCAAGTTGCTTGATGCTCACCCAAGGGGGAAATGCACGTGACAAAAGCTCTACCCCACCGAGCTTTTTTCCATTTTGGGGTGGGGCAGGGGGGATACACCCTTGTATGCAAATTATTTATAATAGAACCTTTTATATGAACGATTCTTGTTAGGGAAAGGGGCAGATAGTTTGGCGAAGTTGGAGTTTTTAGGAAATACACATAACAATATTGCCAGAGACCATAATGACTTTAAATACCGATTTCTTCCTCATCTTTTTCTTAAAACTTTCTGAGGTATAAAGTGCTATAAAACTAACTATAAGTTGTGGCCAGCTATACCTGCTTTCTATAACAATATAAGAGCATTTTATTTTTTATAAAAGAACTGTAAATCGTGTTCAGTTTAAATCATTTAGTCAGGATTATATTAACAACAAGTTGGAAGCGTGCTTGTAGTTGTATATGAGATGGGAATAGGTCCTTAAGTAACTAACAGTTTCTCTCTGCAGAATGGTTTGTTGAACAATTAAGTCTGTATTCCTTAGGATTTTAATATGGCTGGTATTTTATATGTATTCTAATAATGCACATGAAGCATATGCATTTTTGTCTTACAGATTTTTTGCCTTATTGCCTATGTCCCGTCAGTTATTCTCTTTACCTACATTGCATCTTTCACCTTTAAGAAAGTTTTAAACACCAAGGAATTTTGGTCATTTATCTATTCTGTGGTAAGTCACATTTGAAATTATCTCAACTTTTCATAGCAGTTCAGTTGAAAGTCATTTACTCTTTCATGATTAAAATCATAAATAGTAAATGTTTTGTAAATGTAGAATTTAGATAACTTGTAACATTGTTTGTATGTTTGCCTTTTTTTTATCATCCTCCACCCCTCCAGCAAAAGCACGTAACAACTAGTGTGGCGCGGATGTTGTTGTGTACTGTTGAGTTGATTGTGACTCTCAGGATCGTGATATGGTAGAGTAGATAGAACTAACTGCCCTATGAGGGTTTTGAGGTTACGATCTCTATGGAACTCCAGGGGGCAGTCTACTCTGCCCTTACAGTGAGTGGATTTGACCTGAGGGTATACAGCAATGACAACAGTCTTTAAAGGCACAGATCTATCAAGTCTTTTCTCCAGTGGAATTGCTGGTAGATTTGAACACCAACCTTTTTGAAAAGAGCCAAATTCATAACCATTGCACTTTCCAGGTCCCTTGTAAGGATATTAGCTAGGTAAAAACAACTGGTACCAACATTTGGGTACTTCAGACTTAAATATTACATTTGGTTCCATATTTTATTAGAGAATTGATAAAATAATCAAATGCTGGAACATTAATCTGAAAGTAATTTTGATGAAACTTCTAAACACTTTTTCATCTTTTTTGTTGTTTCTTCATTTGTTTTTCTTTAGACAGCCTTAATTTGTATTGTAATCACCGAACTAATGTTCTTTATGGGTCACATGGCTTCAGCGGTTCTTCATTATACTTTCTGCATAGTCATTCCAATCTATCCACTTCTGGGTTGCCTGATTTGTTTCATAAAGGTAGGTCTGTTAGATGTTTTAATATTCTAAAAGCATAAAGACTTTAGAAGCATAATATTTGAGATTCTTCTTGTTCTTGTACTGAAAATGGTTAAAAGAAGATCAGGTGCTACTACTTAATTTAATTATCACTATTGCAGCAATTTGAAATTCCTCTTGGATCTTCTCAAGCATGTCTTCAAACTGTACATTTTCAGAGGAGAAAGTACTGTGTCCATTATCTGTTCTTTGATGCCCCAAATTGGCTACATAAGAATTCTGAACTCCCTCAGTATTTATTTTGGTGGAATTTTTCAAGGGTTAACTAATGAATGCAGCATACTATCAAAAGATGAAGGATTGTTTCCAAAAAAACAAAACAAAGAAAACTAGGTTCATTTTAGTCAGCCTAAATAATAGAAAAAGTTTATCCATGCAGTTAGGAAAAAAATTGATGAATTATGTAATTTAGGGTTGGTGATTAATCTCACTTATTAACTTTTCTGCTCTTTACTTTCTGTTTCAAATCTTCAAATCTGTTGAATTAAAATCTACTGTAAGAGAAATATTTTTGAGCAGGGGAGATTTTATTCTAAGAACAAAACATAGCTATTTATCTTGATTACTACTTTTTGTAGTGAATGTGTGTTTGCTGATTGAAATATATATTTCCCATTTTTAATACATTATACCATATAATTTTTCAAAAACGTTTGCCTTAGATTTCTTGGAAGAATAGTCAAAACAATGAGAATGCTTATAATCCATGGGATAGGCTTTTGGTGGCTGTTATATCGGTAAGAAAATCTTCATTTATTGAAAATGTTCCCTTTAAGATACTTGGCTTTCTCCCAAGCTGTTAAATCCTTTTAGTTACCATTCTGTCTTACTTAGAAGCAAAACCAAAGCTTTTTACTTTTGATTACATTTTACAAAGCTGATCCCAAACTGCTTTATAGAGACAGGAAAAACTGTGAAGGATTATTTTAATAAAAATAAAATATCTTAGTTCATATCTAAAAACGGTGACTAATTGTTTTGGGATTGCCAAGGAACCAGTGTAGATAGTCTTGGTTCTATTGGCATGGCGGGTGGGCGTGGGGGAGAACAACCCAATTTGTTATGAACTATTATGTGTTCTTGTTTTAGCCTTATTTGCAATGTATACTCTGGATTTTCCTCTTACAATACTATGAGAAAAAATATGGCGGCAGATCAATAAGAAAGGATCCCTTTTTCAGGTCAGTTATTCCTTTTTTTCCCCCTTCAAAGTTTCCATGTTTTCTAATATATTCACCAAGTTTGTGTAACCATCACCATAATCTAATTTAGAACATTTCTTTCAGCCAAAAATAACTGTATCTATCAGCACATAGTTCTCCATCTTCCCCTTCCTTGTCTCTAATCCTAGGAATCACACACTTTTTTCCACTCTAGGTTTGCCTGGTCTGGTCATTTCACATGACTGGTTGGTGTAGTACAGTATACCTGTTTCACCTGATCTGTTGTTTATAACCACTAGCTATCTGTTATTGGCGTGTTATGTGCTGCTGAACAGACTAAAACTAGGAATAGACCTGGTAATCTACTTCTGAAAATCAACCAGTGAAAACCATATGGATTACAACAGTCTGATCTACAACTCATATGGGGATGAAGAAGGGCAGGCAGTCTTTAATTTTGTTGTGTGTGAGATTGTTCAATTGGAGGCTGACACAACAGCAGCTAAAAATAACAAACAGAAAATGGAAAAGTATAGAAGTGTGTATCAAGTCCTCAGTGATGCAGATGGTTAGTGCGCTTTGCTGTTTCCCAAATGCTAGAATTGAGTCCATGCAGAGTTTTCTGAGGTAAGAGGCCTGGTGATTGACTTTAAAAAGAATCAGACAGTGAAAACCATGTAGTACATAGTTCTACTTTGGCACCCGTGCCAAGAGCCATGAGTTTGAAGCTAATCGGTGGCAGTCGGTATTGAAATGCATAAAGTTTATGGGATTTTTTCCTAAATGTTATTTATTACAACAAATAATTTTTTAAATTTTATTTTATTTGGGGCTCTTACAGCTCTTACCACAATCCATACATATATCCATTGTGTCAAGCACATCTGTACATATGTTGCCATCATCATTTTCAAAACATTTTCTTTCTACTTGAGCCCTTGATATCAGCTCCTCATTTTTTCCCTCCCTCCCCACCCTCTCTGAGAGCCCCATGAATGCTTGGTAATTTATATATATATATATATATATATATATATATATATATATATATATATATATATTCTTTTTCATGTCTAACACCAACCACTGTCTCCCATCGCCCACTTTTCGGTTTTCTGTCCCCCTTGGAGGGGGCCATACGTCAATCATTGTGATCGGTTCCCCCTTACTCTCCCCCCACCCTTCCCTTACCCTTCTAGTTTCACTACTCCCCTTATTGGTCCTTAGGGGTTTATCTGTCCTGGATTCTTTGTGTTGTGAGCTCTTATCTGTACCAGTGTACATGTTCTGGTGTGGCCAGATTTGTAAGGTAGAATTGGGGTCATGATAATTGGCGGGGCAGTGGGGGAGGAGGAATCATTAAAGAACTAGAAGAAAGTTGTGTGTTTCATCAGTGCTATACTGCACCCTGATTGGCTCGTCTCTTCCTTGTGGTCCTTCTAACAGGGGATGTCCAATTGACTGCTGATGGGCTTTGGGTCTCCACTCTGCCCTCCCCCTCATTCACATCAATGTGATTATGTTTTGTTTTGAGTCTTTGATGCCTGCTACCTGATCCCATCGACGCCTCATGATCACAGGCTAGTGTGCTTCTTTCCATGTGGGCTGTGTCGCCTTTCAGAAGCTTTTGTCAAGTTTATGTTTTAACCACTGGGTTCTCCCTGCTTCTAGTGAGGACTTTAGCCTCTAGTCTCCTTCCTCCTCACCCTCTGCTACTGTTATCTGAGGGCAGACTTCATCATCCACATCATCTGTATAATGCCCCAGTTTCTCATTGTCCACAAACAGTGGCTTTTACCTTTAACCCACTTCAATTTATATGTTCCAGAGCCTGGCATCCCGACTGTTCACGTTACTTGTGGAAGTTTACATTTTAGCATTCAGTTCAAGGGCTAATTAAAAATCTTTCCAACTCTCATTGCATTAGCCCTGTCAGACTTTTCTTCTGAATCTAATTATGGTTTCACATCCTTGAGTTTCCCCTGTCCTTTCAGTTCTATTGGCTAATCATTATTCTTACTTTACTCTCTATCCAGGCTCATCCATCTGATTCACATTTTTATGCTCTTTCAGCATTCATTATGGGAGAATTTAACCAAATAACAACAACAGAATCAATTGATAATACTATATATGTATGAACGTAACTTTTTATTTTTTTATTTTTATTTTTTTTAACTTAGTTTTAACACTGTTGGGTAACCCTACTGCATTTTATTTGCCAGCACCTTCCTAGCTCTTTCTCTTCAATAGTTATCCCTAATCTTCTTTGTAGTTTTTAAATTCCAAACTCAGCTAACTTATTCATTCCCTACTTCTCAATAGATGATCTTGCCACCTATCTCAGGAAACAAGGTCATCTAATTGCAAATTAAAATTTTCCCATATCTTTGTCTTTTCCCACTCCTACAAGGAGAGTTGCAGTTTCCCTCATTTATCCAAGTCTTTATTCTTCCCCTCTATTTTAGGGTGTTGCTCTTTCTGTAGCCACCTTTTGTATGGAAGGAGAGTGTTTGTTTTAAGGAGGCTGTGCCATCTGTCTCCCATTTGAAAACAAATGAATAAATATCAGAATCCATTCTTTGAGCACAAATTCCTCTCTAGTTCTTATCTCATTTCTGTTCTCCCTTTCATATCCTTCAGCTTTCTCCATTTCCAATTCCCTGCAATCAGACTTTTCCCTTATCAGTTTATTGATACTATTTTCAGTAACATAACTAATGGCTTCTTTTTGCCCTGTCAACATTTATTGAACTAAACTGCAGCCTTTAAGGAGGTTGACTTCCTCCTTAAACTGTTCTCTTGTTTTCTATAATGTCACTTCCTATTTGCCTTTAAAATCTTTGCATTTCTTCTTCTGCCCACTCTTATAAAAGTTATTCCTATAGCTCTGACTTCAGCCCTCTACTCTTCCTAGGCAATTTCATTTATACCCAGGCTAAAATTCTTTGTTGGGTCTTGTTTTTTTCACATCCATCTTTCTTTTTCTGTGTAGCTTAATGTGTGATGCATATTATTCATAAATAATAGTGTTGAATAAATGAGTGGATTTAAGTATATTCATCTATTTAATAAGTGTTCATCAATAAAACTATAAGTAAATTAGAAGTACTACTCAATTCCACCTTTTAGAAGTCAACACAGATTTTATGTTGATGTTAATTTTCAGTTGAACATCACAGTATTTAATAATTTAAACATTGACTCTTTTTACATATTTAGGACCCTTTCCAAAAAGCCCAAAAGTAAGAAGTTTCCAGAACCACCCACCAATGACGATGAAGATGAAGACGTCAAAGCTGAAAGACTAAAGGTCAGAGAGCTGATGAGTTGTCAGTGTTGTGAGGAGGTAAGTTAGACTTTTTGGCTCAGTCACAGTAAATGCAGAATGACTAGTTCCCAATGCGTAGGCATTAATCTGCCCCCGTTTTCTTTCTCTGCTTAGGAATTAATCTCAAAAACAAATATTTTATCTACTTAGTTTTGAATAGCCACTATTTCAATCACAGATACTTACCTGTCTACTTACAACAAATGTAATTTTTAATGTGGAGACTTGAGATGTGTGTGGCTGGCATACCAATTTCTGTTAAGGATAAGACTTATTATACTCTTCTCATATCCTGTTTCCCTTCCTAGAAACCAGCTGTTATGGTCAGCAATTTGCATAAGGAATATGATGACAAGAAAGATTTCCTTACAAGAAAAGTAAAGAAAGTGGCAACAAAATACGTCTCTTTCTGTGTGAAAAAAGGCTGGTATTTATTTGGTTTTCCTTAAATAACCTTCCCGGAGAGTAATTTTCCTTTTTAGCTTGATTCGTGTGTGATTATTTTTTCTTCTAATTCTTTTAGGCGAGATCCTGGGACTATTGGGCCCAAATGGTGCAGGCAAAAGCACAATTATTAATATTCTAGTTGGTGATATTGAACCAAGTTCAGGCCAGGTATGATATATAAGTATGTGAGATCTACTAAGTATAATTTACTTTTTTATTAAAATAAATTTCCAATAGTTAGGATGTTGATGCTCCAATTTTATATTTCTTTTGAGTGTTAAAATTTTAAATTTTAGTATAACTTGTTCAAATTATCTTTTTGGTTATATGTGAAAGTAATGGCTACAGTGAACTTCTCACACATAGAGACAACATACTACCCATCCAGTGTTTCTGCTTTTATAATTATTACATTGTGGAAAATCTAGAAGTTCTCGTGGTACAGTAGTTACGTGCTCAACTGCTAATTGCAAGGCTAACTGTTTATACACATCATCTGCTCAGTGAGAAAAATATGACAGCCTCCTTTCATAAAGATGTTCAGTCTTAGAACCTGTTGGGACAGACAGTTCTACTCCTCTGGTAGGGTTGTTGTGAATTGGAAACAACTGGACCACAGTGGATTTGTTTTGGTCTTTGGATAAGTGATGTGTCAACCAACTTAACATGAGAAAATGGTATTAACTTCAGAGTTATGAGAGGTACTCTTTGATTCTGCCATTGATTAGTTTTACCGTAAGCACACCAGTTAACCAACTTACAGAAACTGCTCTGATCTCGTCTTCTCCTTTTGCCATCCATACAGGCTCATGGCTTTCCTGCATAATGCCAGACATACTCTCTTGGCTATACCTTAATCCCTAGAGAGCTACTTACCTCCTGGCTTTAGTATCACCTTCCAAGTGAGGCCTTGACCATTCAATTTTAAATAATAGTTTTCCATTGTCACTCATCCTTGGATTCTTAATGACCTTTTGGCCATGTCATTTGATTCTGATTTACCCATGTAATTGCTTCATTCATAAAGAGTAAAAATCTGACGTCATGATAACTTGGCTCTAGAAAGGGGTAGAGTTAATCCATTTATCACTTCTGGCATAGAAGTAAATCAAGCAAAAACAATTAAGAGTAGATTTATATTTCTGTAGGTCTTTCTTGGAAGCTATTCTTCAGACACAACTGAAGATGATGACTCCGCTAGTTGTATAGGCTACTGTCCACAGCTGAACCCATTATGGCCAGATAGTACATTACAGGAACATTTTGAAATTTATGGAGCTGTGAAAGGAATGAGTGCAAATGACATGAAAGAGGTCATAAGCAGGTAAAACAATTGTCTTTGAATTCTTTTGCTACTAAGTGAAACTTAATATTTTCCAGTTTATAAAAGACCACACATTTTCATGGATCATAGTTTCAATATATTTGTAATATATTCTTTATAAAATTATGGTAGTTGTAAAAATTAAAAGGCAGGTTTTTTTTCTATTTCTAGTTTTAGAGTCAATGTGCTTGGAGATGTCACAAAACATAGTTTGAAATGAAATTTTTATCTTTAAGATATTAATTTGTTTAAAATTATATAATTTGGAGTTGCCTAAGTTTTAACTGAGTAGTCATTCTGGAAAAAACAAGGCCAATGATCACAAGCAATTTATGTGGATATCTATTGTATATATCATAGTACACTCATTTTGATTTTCCACTTTGCAGAATTTCGAATGTACTTGATTTAAAAGAACATCTTCAGAAGACTATAAAAAAGCTCCCAGCAGGAATTAAGCGAAAGGTGTGCTCATTAAATAACATATTCTGTTTTTAAAATCATTTCTTCCTTAGTAGTATCTTGAGAGAATTACTTTCTGTGAAGCTTTAATTGTGCCTCATGTCCCCCATTTTCTTTCCATCTAGCTGTGTTTTGCTCTAAGTATGCTGGGAAATCCTCATATTACTCTTCTAGATGAACCATCTACAGGTATGGATCCTAAAGCCAAACAGCACATGTGGTGAGTATGGCAATGAAGATTATGTATACATAAAATAGGATAGGTTTATATGGCCAAAAGGAATATAACAGCAAATTAGTCCACACAGCAGTACAGAGAGCTCAGTCCAATTCCCTTTCATGGGACAATTAATATAATGAAGTTCCTTCCCATTCACACCAGCCGCTGGCCCAAAGCCGAGGAGGCAGGTAGTAAGGAGATGAGATGTTGACGCATAGCAGAGGCCAGTAGCACAGAAAAGCAGGTCACAGTGGAGCCTGATTGACAGGCTAAACTCCACCCACATCTTCTTACAGGTTCCATGTTGGCACAACAAACCTGTCTACCACAGCCTTCAATTCTTATAATTTATTAGCATATTTTCAGCACATGCTGTTAGTTGCCATCAAGTTGGTTCTAACTCACCGTGACCTTATGTACGGTAGAATGAAGTGGAAGATTGCCTGGGCATGCACCATCCTCACAATTGTTTCTGCCTTTGAGCCCATTGCTACACCCACTATGTTGATCCATTTTGCGTGGGTGTTCTCTCTCACTGGCCTACTTCACCGAGTATGATAATGTTTGTATTCGGCTGAGGGTTCTAGAGAGACAAAAACAGTGTCACTCATGTATATATGTGAAGGGACTTTTTACGAAGAAAGAATTTTATATAAAAAAAAAAGTGTCCCATCCCAGTCATGGCTCTGATACTGGCTGGAGCCTTCTACAGACTCATGCAGCTGCTGGTGGACGAAGCAGAAAGGCAAAGCAGGAAACTGAGAGATCAAAGACTGATGGGTACACAGTCATGTGGATGTAAAGTATGCAGGGATAGGGCAAGGCACTTCAGCTCCAATGGTTGGCAGGCTGAATCGGCTGCCAAATGTAGAGCCAGATGCACCAACCAGGAAATAAAGAGATGCAAGAGAGAGAGAGAAGTTCCCAGTGACTTTGTTATAAAGACCCCACACCCCCAAGGAGGCATCACCAAGCTGTGCCCTGACTGATAGGTTGGACTCCACCCTTACATAACTTCAAGTTGAAAATGTAGGTATTGCATTCTTCAGGGACTAGTTCCTCCTGATAATATATCCAAAGTTTCTCAGACGAAGTTTCCGTATCCTTGTTTCTAAGAAGTGTTCTGGCTTATTTTCTGTTCCTGTTGTTGTGACTGTTTGGTGCCATCAAGTTGGTTCCAGCTCAGAGACACTGTGTACAACAGAATGCAGCACGGCCTGGTCCTGTGGCGTCTTCACAGGTGTTTCTGTGTTTGCCTTCATTGTCATGGCCACTATGTCAGTGCAGCTTGCCACAGTCCTTCCTCTCTTTCTGTGCCCCTCCACCTTCCCAAGCATGTTGTCCTTTCCCCGGAGCTGGTCTCCTGTCCAGAGTTGTGAGACAGTGTCTCTCCATGCTGGCCTCTACGAAGCGTTCTGGCTATACTTCTTCCAAGACAGATTTGTCTGTTCCTTTTGCAGTCTGTTCTACTCTAAATATTCTTTGCCAACACCACAATGCAAATGCAATGATTTTTCTTCAGCCTTCCTTATTCATTGTCCAGCTTTCACATTTGTATAAGGTGACTAAAAATACCATGACTTGGGTCAGGCTCACCCTAGTCCTCTAAGTCGCATCGTTGATTTTTAACACCTTAAAGATATCTTGTGCAGCAGATTCCCACAGTGCAATGTATCATTTGATCTCCTGACTGCTACTTCCATGAGCACTGCTTGTGGATCCAAGAAAGATGAAATCCTGGACAACTTTTAATTTCTGTTAACCACGATGTAGGCAACTGGTTGGGTTGTAAGGATTTTAGTTTTCTTCACCTTGAATTGTAATGCATACTGAAGGCTATGCTCCTTGATCGTCATTGAATATTAATATTTTCCCCAATATAATTCAAAGGCCTCAATTCTTTTCCTTATTCATTGTCCAGCTTCCACATGTATATGAAATGAATGAAAATACCGTGGTTTGGGTCAGCTGCACCTTACTTCTCAAAAGGCATTTTGGCTTTCTGACACTTTAAAGAGGTCTTGTGCCGCAGATTTGCCCAGTGCAATTATGTTATTTGACTTTTTGACTGCTACTTCCCAGGGCCATTGATTGTGGATCCATGTAAAACGAAATCTTTGGTAACTTCAAATGTTTCTCGGTTTTTTGTGGTATCGCCCCTTGTTTCGGTTGCGAGGGTTTTTGTGTGCTGGATGTTGATGTGCAGTCCATCCTGCAGGCGTTGTTCTTGGTCTTCATCTACCCGTGCTTCAGAGCCTTGTTTGCTGCGTGTGAAGAGGACTGGAAGCAGCTCCTTTTAACCCAGAGAGAGGCATTTAAAACCGTGGATTTCATTCCATTCTATAAGGTTTCAAAAGTAAGGGGAAATAGATTTGAATATAAAAATCACAGTTGGTTTCGATAAAATAGTCACAGCAATTAATATTTGATACATTTTAATTAATACACTTAACTAAGAAGTTGAATTTTTTAACACCCAGACATTTTGTCTTATTTAAGTTTTGCTTATTTTATAGGCGAGCAATTCGAACTGCATTTAAAAACAAAAAGCGAGCTGCTATTCTGACCACTCATTATATGGAAGAGGCAGAGGCTGTCTGTGACCGAGTGGCTATTATGGTGGCTGGGCAGTTAAGGTAGAAGTCTAAATACTATGCCCTATAGAGCAAAATGATTGGTTGTCATTTGAATGCTGTCATGTCAGAAACGTAGTAGTAATGCACAGTGACTTATGTGTTTTTAAAAAGTTTCCTTTGTGAATTTTAGAATCAGTCTCTAGCTTTTCTGTAGAATTATTTGGAAATAAGTAGTTTACAGAGCATGGCAAGCTACTTTATATTTGAAATCATCTTAGTCAATAATTTGGAATGTTATTTTCAGGCATAGTATTTGTTATTTTAAAATATTAATGTTATTTTTTGTATTAATATTATTTTAGTAATCTAATGGTATTAGATCATAATTTAAAGTATAATATATATATATGAATTCATATCATATAAAAATGGTTAAATAAATTATGGAAGAAAGGCAGGTTTTCCTTCCAAAAGGATCTCATGTAGCATTTATAGATAGAGTTACTTCCAGAGTGGCACTCAATCACATGGACTGGATTTAATGAGTTACTACAAAAAAAAATTGATACCTTTTAATGTGGATAGCATGTGCCCCCCAATATGTTGTTATCAGAAGAACTTTTCTGCTCTGTGGTGTTTTCTCTGGAAACCCTGAAGCTGCGTCTAATTATGAGGGGGAACCTCATACCTACTCAAATTGAGAGACAGTTCCCCAAACATTCCTCAACACTGACAAAGGTATGAAAAACAAGGCAAGAGTGAGACTCACAGAGGAAGACTAAATGAAATGTGGCTTAACAAGTAGATTCTAGAGCAGTGAAGGACATTGGTAGAAGTTAATTCTGAGTTTACTTAGTAAGAGTGTGCCAGTGTTGGTTTCTTAGTTTTGATAAATCGTCCACATCGTGTAGGATGATGGTGTCAGGAAACAAATTGAGTGAGAGGTATTTGGCAAATCATATCTTCGCTATCTTTCTGTAAATTTAAAGCCATCTTGGAATGAAAAATTAATTTAAAAAACCATAGCATGAGTAATCAGTCTTTGAAACTATCATTTTATATGTAAGGGTTTTTTTAATTACTACAGATGTATTGGGACAGTACAACATCTAAAGAGCAAGTTTGGAAAAGGCTACTTTTTGGAAATTAAATTGAAGGATTGGATAGAAAACCTAGAAATAGACCGACTTCAAAGAGAAATTCTATATATTTTTCCAAATGCAAGTCGCCAGGAAAGGTAAATATTTAAAATATTTAGATGTGTATTTTGTAGAGCAATAATAATACTTGATTATTATATTAAGGATTGGGAGGAACCACTCTCCACTCATAGGCAGGTACACATGTATTATCTTTTTCTACACACGCACACACTCACATAGCCTTCAAAAAGTTTGTGGAAAAATGTCCATCTTTTAATTCTATTTTCCCAGAACATTTTGAATTCTCCTTGGATACTTATATGGGCATGCATGTACACACACACACACACACACACACACATACACAAGGGTAAGTCAAAATATATTGCTACAAAATCATAGAAACACCTTTATTAAATAAAACAGGAAGCTATTGTTTCTTGACATATACTTCATCTGGGTCTCTATACTGTATACTATAAGGCAGTGTTCCCATCTCAACGTTTCCCACAAAATTTTGGGCTCATAAATTTGCATCATGTCATAATAGCAGTTTTGGCAGCCTTAAGGGACTCAGATCACATTCCTTTTAATCAGTAGTTCTCAACCTTCTTCCTGCCTCGACCCTTTAATATAGTTCCTCATGTTGTGGTGACCCCCCAACCACCATAAAATTATTTTTGTTGCTACGTCATAACTGTAATTTTGCTACTCTTATAAATTGGACAACCCCCGTGAAAGGGTCATTTGACCCTCAAAAGGGCTTTCAATGGTCTTGAGAACAAAAGAAGTCTTGAAGGGAAAGATCAGGTCTATAGGGTGAATGGAATAAGGTTCCAAAAGAAATTCTGTTAGGACAGCCCTTGCTACCTTTGAAGAATGCTCAGATAATATCATCCTGATTGCAAAATAAAACCTTGACATGATTTCACTGGACTTTTTCTCACAATGCAGTTATCAATGGTCTTTAAACTTATTTATAATAATCCCCTATGATTGTTCTTCAAGAAAATTGATCAAAATTACGCTTTAGGAATCCCCCCAAATAATCACGACAGCCTTGTGAGCTGACCTCTCTATTTTGAATTTAACTGGTACAGCAGGTCCTCTTGGAAGGCACTGTTTGGATTGGACCTTGCTCTCAAGATTGTATTGATAAATCTTAAGACCAATCACTAATTACAATTGGTGCCATAAAATTGTCCTCATTAGCTTTGATTTTGCTTTAAAAAAGCAATGGAGATATCAGCTCTATGAGCTAATGATCTTCCCATACCACTTTCTTTTAGTATCCATCTTTTTAAGGTACTCAACAAGACTGCAGACACACATTCACACTCATTTTGCTTGGAATAAACCCATGCATGTATGAACTGAAATCCTAGTAGCAACCTTTTATGCCTTCCCCTCAGGGGTGTGTGTGTGTGAGAGAGAGAGACAGAGAGAGACTCAAAAAGTTAATGGAAAAATCCCTTTTGTCTTTTAATTTCAATTTTTCTATAACCTTTTGAAACCCCTTCATATGTTGTATATAGGCATACATGCACATATAAAACTACTTTACCTCATAGGTGCTCTCTCTCATTTCATCATCTTATGTTAGATGTTTTAATATTGATAGTATTAAAATGTTGTAAAGTCCTTACTTGGTAATAATGATAGTTACTATATGTAAATATACTATAATACTAAAGTTTATCCAAAAATATTTTATAAGGTCACTGTTAATCCACACAAATATTTAAATATATTATTGACATTAATTTTCACCTTCAACGTTAATCATTTTAAATTTAGCTTTTTAATTATCACCATTGTGTCTTACATGGTTTTCAGCTTTTCCTCCATTTTGGCTTTCAAAATCCCCAAGGAAGATGTTCAGTCCCTTTCACAGTCTTTTTCTAAGCTGGAAGAAGGTGAGTAGTGTTGAGAAAAATGTAAGCTAGATCTCTAATTATGAAGGATCAAATTGTTAAAAATTCAGTATTTGGGACTCAGTTTTTTTAAAAAAGCATGATAAATGGTAAGAACCTTTTACTCATTTAAGATACACACAAATCTCGGTGCTGTAAGAATTTTGTAGATCAATTGTGGGATTCAAAAATTTCACAACTGGTTCGCTGCCCTACTGACTACCTTAACTATAAAAAATGATATGCACAAGGTGGTTTACTATCAGACCACCGCTGTTGCCCAGATGAGTGTTAAAGAAAGAATACTCACTGCTATGATGTCATTCCTGACTCATAGCAACCCCCAGTGAGTTTCCCAGACTGTAACTGTGTACAGTAGTAGAAAGCCCAGTCTTTCTCCGATGGAGTTGCTGGTGGTTTTGAACTGCTGACTATGTGGCCTATGGTATAACCACTACTACCCCCAAAAATAAGAAATGCAAATTTTGGATTTCCACATTGAGGGGCGGGCTGGGCATCCAGTTTAGAGATAACCCTAATTACAAGTGCCATTTTAACAAGCTGGTTGAATCCTAATGGACATCACCACAGCTTATCACATTGCATCTATGAGAAAATCCTGCATAATCGTTTTTTCCTAATTCATTGAAGCAGTGGGATTGTTGGGTTTCCTGAATTCTTACTTCATTAACTGGGCTATAGAAGTAGCAGTGTTATCAAGATTCCAGTAGCAGCAGGCTAGAAAAGAATTCATACTTCCTGAGAATGGGGAGAGTTCTAAAGAAACATTGAATCATGGCATTATGTGGCAGATAGGGTAGAGATTTGCTAAAGATAGCCCCGAGCTCTGTTGGCATAATGAATTGCACTGAATGGCTAACCACAGGGCCAGCAATTCGGAACCACCAGCTGCTCTGCGGGAGAAAGAGGAGGTTTACCACTCTCATAAAGAGTAACAGCCTTGGAAACCCACGGGGGCAGTTCTTCCCTGTCCTATAGAGTCACGATGAGTTGAAATTGACTCTGTGGCAGTGAGTGAGTGAGTTTGTGAGTTAGTGAATGAAAGATAGACAAATATATGGGAATATGACCAATGACTAATCCAGTTAAAAAGTCACGAACGGAATGTTTTGGGAAGTGGGGAATAGAAGACAGGGAGGAGGGATCAAGAAGAAACAACAGCAAAGACCAGGAATAAAAGGGCGCTGAAGGGGGCACCTGGAAGGGGAAGAAGGCTGGTAACATGAGATGGGTGGTACGTAGGCTTCCAGGGTAGCATGCAAGTGGGAGAGGGAGATGAAAGCAAGGTAGAGGAAAAGGACCTTTTGGCAGTTTCTAATTTAAATGAGTTGATTATAGAGATTTTTTATTACAAAAAAATTACTACCTTATTAGTTATTGCCATTTTATTATTTTAAAATCTTGATATGTATTGTTTTTATACTTTAATAGCTAAACATACGTTTGCCATTGAAGAATACAGTTTTTCTCAAGCAACACTTGAACAGGTACTATAAAGTTAAACTGTGTGTGTCTAAGAATTTTTGTTGTAAAAATATGAGCGTTTCATAAGGCCCTTGGAAAAATGGAATTAGAAGGTAAAAGAATTTTCACAGGAACTTTTTGATGCTCCCTTGCATAACGCACATGTGTCAACAACATTTTTCAGGTGTACAGTTTAGAGCATCAGTTACATTCATCAGGTTATATAATAAGCATCCATAATTGTTAATAAACTTTAGTTTCGAAGCTAATTTGTACTACTGGTTATCTGACTGGAGCCACAGATACAGAATCTGTATTGTTCTTACTGAAACATAGCATGGAATTAACATTAAACTTAAATAAAACTAATTTAAATTAAAAATGACAAAAAATAGATTTTAGTTTCTGTATATTGTTATTTCACATGTGAGGCAATCCAATATTAATCCTTTTGTGACTAACATATTCCACTCAGCATAAGGTTTTCAGGATTCATTCACCTATCAGAATGACATTTCTCTTAAGAATGACATTTCTCTTTGTGGCTAAGAGGTATTGTATTTGTGAACGACATTATGTTTATCCATTCATCTACTGATAGACATTTAGGTTGCTTACACCTTTTGGTTATTGTGAATTGTGCTGCAGTGAACATTGGTGCATGTGTATTTGTGTTACTGATTTCAAGTCTCTTGGATCTATACTTAATTAGAATTGCTGGAATTTTTTGCTCAACTATTGTAGAATTGCCAAACTGTTTTCCACAATGGCTATTTTTGCTTCCTTAACAGCAATGGTTGAGAGTTCTGGCAATGGTTGAGCGTTCTGGTTTCTCTACATCCTCACCTATATTTGTTATTTTCTGTTTTTGTTATTTTTATCTTAGCCAACCTCCCAAACTCACTGCCATCAAATCACTTCCAACAATAGCTACCCTATAGGACAGAGTAGAATTTACCCCTGTGGGTTTTGAGGCTGTAAATCTTTATAAGAGCAGAAAGCTTCATTTTCCTTCCTGGGAGTGACTGGTGGTTTTGAACTGCTGACCTGGTGGTTAGTAGTCCAGGTACCCCACCAGAGCTCTTTAGAAACCTAAGGGGAATGAAATGATAGCTCATTGTGAATTAATTTGCATCCACTATGCTTAATGGTCCCAAACCAGTTTCCCAGTCAAATTTAAAGACCATCTCAAGAACAGAATTGATGCATTGAACACTAATGAGAGAAGACCCGAGGAGCTATGGGAGGACATAAAAACATCATAAAAGAAGAAAGCAAAAGGTCATTAAAGAACAGATCAAAGCGGACGTCAGAGACCATGACCTTGCTCTTAAGTGTTTAGCTAAGGCATATGGAAGAAATGCTGAAGCCAAAGAGCTGAATAGAAAATTTCAAAGGTTAACTTGAGGAAGACTTACTTAGAAAACTAAAAAGCAAAAACACATTCAGCATATCTTAAACTGAAAGAACTAAAGAAAAAATTCAACTCTTGAGTGACATTATTGAAAGATTCTATGACCAAGCTATTAAATGATACAGGAAGCATCCAAAGAAGATACAGTCACTGTACCAAAAAGAACTGGTCCACATTCACTATTTTCAAGAGGTTGCATCTGAGCAAGAACCAATGGTACTAAAGGAAGTCTAGCTGCACTGAAAGCATTAGGCAAAAATCAGGCTCCAGGAATTGATAAAATACCAATTGAAATGTTTTCAACAAGCTGGTGAAGCACTGGAAACATTTACTCAGCTATGCCAAGAAATTTGGAAGACAGCCACTTGGCCAGCTGACTAGAAGAGATACATATTTGTATTCATTCCAAACAAAGGTCACCCAACAAAATTCAAATTATAAAACAAGATCATTGCTATCACATGCAAGTAAAATTGTGCTGAAGCTCACCCAACAACAGTTTTAGCAATACATTGGCAGAGAACTGCCAGCGGTTCATGCTGGATCCATAAGAGGATGTGAAACAAGGTATATCATTGATGACATAAGATAAACCTAGGCTCAAACCAGAGAGAGAATACCAGAAAGATGTTTACTTGTATTTCATTGACTATGCAAAAGAATGTGATAATAACAAACTATGGATATCCTAGAGAAGAACGAGAATTCCAGAACATTTCATTGTGTTCATTTGGAACTTGTACCAAATGGATCAAGAGGGAGTTGTGTGAACAGAACAAGGGAAAACAACATGGTTTCAAATCAGGAAAGGTATACTTCAGGGTTTCATCCTCACCATACTTACTCATTTTGTGTGCTAAGCAAATAATCCGAAGTCGGATTGTATTAAGATGAATGGGACATTGAAAGGTAGGAAGACATATTAACAATCTGCGATATGCAGATGACACAACCTTGCTTGCTCACTCAAACTGAGGAGGACCTGAAGCACTTGCAGATGAAGATCAAGGAGTATAGCCTTTGGTATGGATTACAACTCCATGTAAAGTAAACCAAAATTTTCACAACTAGCCCAGTGGATAACCATAATAAATGGAGAAAAGATCAAAGTTGTCAAGGATTTCATTTTGCTTGGATCCACAATTACAGCTCATGGAGGCAATAGTCAAGAAATCATATGCCCTATTGCATGAAGGTACGTGTAAGGGGGCACCAAAACAATCCCAGAATTGTGTTGGATGGGGCAGAACTTTCTGAGTACACGTTTTTCCCGCTGGGCAAGCATTGAGCCAACTCTCTTTGAGTTCGTGCACCTAGTGGCATCCCCTGGGAAGGATTTCTGTGGTCATAGTGAATTTTTTTGTAAAAGTAGTTTTGCTCGAACTTCATTTTTTATGATAGCCAATATAAAAGAAGAGCGTGTGGCTGTGAAATTTTGTTTCCAGCTCAGGGAAAATGCTGCAGAAACTGTTGTGATGTTGAGCACTGCTTACAAGGACAGTGCTATGGGAAAACTTCAAGTGTACGAGTGGTTTTCTCATTTCAAAAAAGGTGAAGTGTCGATTGATGACAAACCTCATACTGGACGGATGCCAACTTCCTGAATGGATGAAAATGTTGACTGGTAGTGCATTTGGAGTTCGTTCCACCAGGTCAGACTGTTAATCAAGCTTTCTATTTAAAGTAGTGGTTCTTAACCTTCCTAATGCCTTGGCCCTTTAATATAATTCCTCATGGTGTGGTGACCCCCCAACCATAAAATTATTTTTGTTGCTACTTCGTAACAGTCATTTTGCTACTGTTAAAAATTAGACGACTCCTGTGTAAGGGTCCTTCGACCCCCAAAGGGGTCTCGACCCACAGGTTGTGAACCACTGATTTAAAGGTTCTGGAAAGATAGCATAAGCAGTGGGTGACAAAAAAGGTCTGATTTGTGGCAGACGGGGGACTGGTTTTGCCACCACGGCAATGCACCAGCTCAGTGTGCCAATTTTTGGCAAAAAACATCATGCCTCTTGTCCCACGCACCTAATTCACCTGGTTGCTTTATATGACTTCTTTTTGTTTCCGCTGATGAAGAGGGACATGAATGGACAGCAATTTGAGAAGTAGAAGAGGGGAAGAGAAAAATGAGGGGGGTGCTGTCAGCTATTCAAACATTTGAGTTTGAAAAAGTTTTCAAGACTGGAATTGCATATTTGACAAATGTATTAAGTGTAATGGAGAGTACTTTGAAGGTGATACGGTTGTTTTGTAAACATATTTAAATGCATAGCTTTTGGTATGTGGTAGGATTACATTTGTGGGGGTACCCCCTTGTATGCTGCGCAAGGCCTCTTTCGAGTATTGAACAGCAGGACTATTACTTTAGGACTAAGGCAGGGGTCCTCAAACTGGCCCGCCGAGGACATGTATCCGGCCCGCCGGGTGTTTTCGCCCATTTTGTTTTTTTACTTCAAAATAAGATATGCGCAGTGTGCATAGGAATTTGTTCATAGTTTGTTTGTTTTTTTAACTATAGTCCGGCCCTCCAACGGTCTGAGGGACAGGGAGCTGGCCCCCTGTTTAAAAAGTTTGAGGAGCCCTGCACTAAGGTGAACCTCATATGCGTGTGAAAGTAAGACACTGAATAAGGAACACCAAAGAAAATCCATGCATTTGAACCACGGTGCTGGCCAAGCATATGGAAAGTGCCATGGACTGCCAAAGGAACAAGCCCATCTGTCTTGGAAGAAGTAAAACCAGAAGGCTTCTCAGAGGCCAGGATAGTGAAACTTTGTCTTATGTGCATGGACATGTTGTCAGGAGAGACCATGGAGAAAGGACATCACACTTAGTAGAGGATCAGCAAAAAGAGATGGCCTTCAGCAACATAGATTGACACAGCGGCTGCAACAGTGTGCTCAAACAAAAACAGCTGTGAGGATGACACAGGAGCAGGCAGTGTTTCATTGTACATAAGGTCGCTGTGATTCAGAACGGACTCATCTGCACTAACAACATCCACAACATGCTTAATGGTCAGGGGAGACTCAGCTTTTCCTCCTGTAAAGAGTTACAATCTCAGAAACATAGGAACAGTTCTGTCCTGTCCTACAGGGTTGCTATGATTCAGAATCAACTCCATAGCAGGGACTTTGATGTTTTTTTAATGCTTAATGATATTGAGCATCTTTTCATGTGTTTGTTGATCATTTTCATATCCTCTTTCATGAAATGTCTACTTTGCTTTTAATTGGATGGCTTATCTTTTATTTTGCTAACTGTAGGAGTTCTTTATATATCTAAGATATTAACCTTGTAAGCTGTTTCCTCACCTTGTTAATAAAAAGTAAAATAAAATGTTTTGTAAATGAAAGTGTTTTACTCTCCACTTACTGAAGTTTATATTGGAGAGGGAGGGAGATTGTGAACCAGAGACAAATATTATAGTACATTTCTAAATATTTCATATAATTTTAAAACTTCAGGCCCTGTGCTTATCCTGGGCAGGTCAGTTTAAAAGTAAACAAAAAGAAAGAGGAATGTAATGATGACATGTCATATAAGCATAAATAAAATTATATTTTTAGATTGTTTTTATATTATGACAGTGATCGATACATATATTAATCATAAAACAAAGAGTCTAATACTTTTCTGAAGTAAGATGGATCTGTGCTTGTGATTGATGAAGATCACTATTTTGTTTGAATAGTGTTAATATCAGCAATTATTTTTTGATACCTGAGTGATTCATATAATTAAATAAAGAGTTTAATTTCTGATTTAATTAAAAGTTCTCCTGAAATAATTTTAATTTGGTATGCTGTCATCATGTCTTTTTTCTCCTCAGGTTTTTGTGGAACTCACTAAGGAACAAGAGGAAGAAGATACTAGTTGTGGCACTTTCAACAGCACGCTTTGGTGGCAACGAACACAAGAAGACAGAGTGATATTTTGAATTGTGCTACTCCAGTTTCCTTGTTGAAAGTATTTATTATTCACTTGATTTGAACACTGGTTTAAAAGATGTATTATTTAAGTAGTGACTGAAGAACCACGAAAGCATTTGGAATGAAGAAAATGCTTATTTCACCAGCTTTACTAAGCTCATTAATTGAAATGCTGTGGTTGTATGTTTTGCTTTCTGCAAATAAAATTTTCATATAATTAATAGAACCTGCATGTTTTGTATCTGAAGTATATTGAACTGTAATCTGTATGTCAAGTAGGGTATTTACTTTTTCACCCTTTGAATTTATGGTTTGAAAGGATAATGATAAAATTTTATTTTGAAATCACCTTTATTTCTTAAGGTCTTTATTATCTTATCATATGTGTAATGCCACTATATAATACATAGATAATACATAGAATACAGACATAATATCAAAGTTTCTTGCTTCTCCCTTTTACGTTCTAATAGAAACTGTATGAAAACTGGCATCATTAAAAACAAAACATAAATCACTGGACTAGCTCCGTGCTGCTGGAAGGGTTCCAGGAAGTGATGTCCACTAGGGGGCACTCGTCGACCTTAGTAAACTTACAGATAATTTTTCTCCTCTGATAATTTAGGAATTTAAGTTTCATTGTTCCTGCTTTAACTAAAATGCAGAGGTTTTTGATCAACAAAATTGAAGTAAGACTGTATCTAGTATCTTTCTATTTAATGATCTGATTCTTTGACTTTTTGTCATCAGAATGGCAGATACCATAAAGAAGTGGTAGAATTAGGCTATAAGCAACTTTTAGCACTTCCTTTAAAAGGGAACCTTTTATTTTATTCTTTGCAAAGAAAATTAGTTGGGTAATCATGTTTATCCATAACTTGATTATTTGAAATAGCTTTCCTCTCTGGAACATGAAGTACAAAATTATATTACTGCATGAACTTCACTGCGTAGACTCACTTCAGATTTGCTTTGGGATGTGGTAGGACATAAAAAAGATTGTTTTGGATATTCAATTAAAAAATTAGAAAAAAAGTATGCTTATAATAAAAAGAACAGAACTTTACTGTATGACCCAGTTGAGGTAAGGTTATAGTTAATTATAATTAATATAATCTTAGACATACTTCCATGCAGAATCCATGTATGGGCTATAGGCACACTATAGTTTAAATAACACTACTATATATTATATTGCAACCAGATTAATACAACTGAAAATTTGCATAAACAAATCAAGGGGGGATGATTGTATTCAAAGAGATTTAAAGAGTAACAATGGAAGGATTTGGTATTGAGTTACTTTACATTGCAAGGCCTTTTAATGAAGTTATTATTTAATGTAGATAAAAATTAATGACCTTTTAACTAAAGAATGAAAATAATAGGGAAGAAAACTGTGATGAAGGTTGTAGCAACTGGTTGAAAATAGTGTTCTTTTTTTATTCTCAGTATAAGATTGATGTTTACTCTCATTGCTTTGGTAATTGTTCACATTCACATTCTTAAAGACGCCTACTTTGCCAGCTACTCTAGGGATCTTCTAATTAATCTAAATGAGCCCATGTACAAGTTTCTGCTTGGATCTTATACCCCACAGTGGCATCATTTCTCCACGTAAGATTTAGTTGGCGCTTTTTTTGAGTCATCATTGTTTCACGTTTGCCTCGTGACAGCAAACTAATTTCAGATTTGTCACCTGGGACTCTTTTTATATCTTTCCCTGAGGATCACTGTACGATGGATACTATTCAAGACAGAGTTGAAAGAAAATTTTTACTTTGTACATAAATTGATAAATGGCACATTGCATTTCCAAGCAGTTCATTGGCGCCTGGTGCTGTTCACTTAAAGAGGCATCCATTCGATCTTTTTTTCATATCAATACCTGGCAGTCTCTCTTTGGGGGGTGTTTTTGTAGCTATGTGTTACTTTGAACACTAAATTAAGTTTAATAAACACATAGTTTACTGGTTACTACAGACATTGAAAAAAGTGGTTTTAAAAAACCTAAGAAATGTTAGTTCAAAATAGAGCACCTTACCTGCTTTTTCACAGTTTATTTGATAACTTTAATCTTTATTGTGTGACTGATGTGAAAAATTTCCCCAGCAAAGTGAAAGCTGCGATTATGCTGACTAATTAATCATATTTTTACCTATTTTGTTTAGTTGGTTCCTTTACTATTTTTGTATATGAATACATATTCTTGTAAACCTGTTTTTAAAAAAAGACATTGGAATTATTTAAAAAATTTTTACATAGATGATATTTTGGTCACAAATTGAATTATTTGCAGGAATGTTGCATTCTCTTATTCAGAGTAACACGATCTTTTCTATTCATGAGAATTATAATTTAACTCGTAATTAGCAAAGGAAGAGGGTCAGAAGGAGGGAGGAAAAGGAAAAGTAGAAAATCTAAATCTGAAGTTTGTGTTTACAGTGTGAAATCCATGGTTTTTGAGTGTATGCTACTTTATTTCGAAAGGTCTTACGTTGCTGATCTGGAGCTTGTTTTTCTAAACCATAATAATTATAAATATGTGTATTTGGAAATTGTTAGGGAAAAACCCTGCATCACCCAGCTTACGTTTTCTATCCATGATCACATGTGAAAGTGAAGACCCGGCTTTACTGAGTCACCGTGTTTACTGAGACGGAGCCCTGACGCACAGTGGCTTATGAGTTAGGCTGCTAATCACAAGGTTAGCATTTTGATGGTTAGCAGTTTGAAACCACGGGTTGATCCTCAGGAAAAACATAAGACTGTCTGCTCCCTTAAAGATGTACAACCTCAGAAACCCACAAGGGCAAGTCCAGTCTGTGCTGTAGGGTCACTGAGTCAGAATGGACTCGGGGGCACTTGGTGCGAGTGTGGGTCACTGGCAGATAAGCAGCCTCAGCGCCTAGGCATCACACAGGTAGTAATAACGGAAACCATTTTGATGAGTAGATCTCACACTGCGCCCTGGGGACTTGTAGTTATTTTCCATTTTGTTCTTCATAAAAACTGTACCTTTTCACTTATAACTTTTTTTTAAATGGGCAAAGACTGTAATCTCAGCATGTCATTTTAATCATTTTTTTGCAAGGAATTCAACATATATTGATTGGGTTTCCTGTGATTCACACACTTTGGGTTTTTTAGATAACAAGGATTACTTTCCATTTTATGTATGACTAGTGGAAGAAAGACAGATACTCATAGCTAATTAAGATGGAATCTGACATGTTGTTTGTGCTATCACCAGTGTTTTATCGGAGCACAATTAAGTCTACGTAGAGTGAGTCACTGTTTGGATTCTTTTCTTTTAGTCACCATCTCATTCTAATCTGACTCGGAATTTGTCAAAGTAAGACTATTTTCAAGTAGTCTATAGAGAGGTGTTAATATTTGAAGAATAGAAATTAACATCTTTAATGTATCTTTCATACTGCTTACATTTTTTCATCTTATTTCCTGAAATAACATTACATAAGATGGAAGAATTTATTCTCAGGTGAATAATTTTTATATCAACTATTGTAATCGTATGGCAAAAATTACTTATTTTAATCCATAATGTCTTATATGTAAGTAATTATCAGTGCTACCTTTTAAGAATAAATAATATGAATATATTAATACGATTTAAGAGCTAAAAGTTAAGACAACTTTCATTTTGTATACTGAAATGGATTCTTTGCTATATAACTGGATTAAGAGTGACTCATATTAAAAATTAAAAAAAATACCGGCACTAAAAATACTAAAATTGTTACTTTTTTTTTTAGTATCTAAGGGAAGGGTTATAGTTTAAAAAGGAACCCCTGGTATTATTGCTTTAACCCACATCCATTTTCAATTTAAATTGGGGATTGTACAGGAGGACCTCGGGTGGCACAGTGGGGTCTGCACTGGGTTGTTTATTATAAGGTAAGTAGTTTGAACCCACCAGCACCTCCTTGGGAGAAAGATGAGACTTTCTCCTCCCATAAAGACTCACAGTGTCTGAAGGCCCAAGGGGCAGTTCTAGTCTGTCCTACAGGATCACTGTGAGTCAGAATTGACAGGGCCCCTGAGTTTGGATTTGTCTTGTTGTTTAATTCATGTATATCTTTTCATATATTTTATCTCAATGTAAAACAGAAACGTTCCCTTATATTTTATTGGATTTAATAGGTTGAATGAGTCTCAAAGATTTAACACTTGTTAGGTGCTGTTGTCAGTTCCTACTCCTAGAACCCTGTCTATAATAGAGTGATAGACTCCCTGTTCTTGAGCGAGCCAGCCTTGCAATTATTCCTCTTTGAGCCCATCGTTGCCACGGTGTCAGTCCAGCGTGTTCAGGGTCATCCTCAGCACTTCAGCACCATCTGCACGCTTACATAGAGTCCTGGTGGTGTAGTGGGTTACACGTGGGGTTGCTCACCACTAGGCCAGTGGGTTAAAACCACCAGCCACCTCACTGAAGAAAGATGAGGCTTTCTACTCTCTCAAAGATTTATAGTCTAGGAAACCTATGGGACAGTTCACCTACCCTACAGGGTCACCGTGAATTGGAATCAACTCCATGGCACTGAGCTTATTGTTTGGGTGGTTTGTTTGTGGGATGACATTTTTAATAAATTTTATCCAAACGTAGGCAAGATTTTTTATTATGATGCTGTACTGAATTTTGAACTGTATTGACATGTTATCTATTCAAAACAATAATATACTAAATACATTTAATACAGAAACTATATTGAAGGACATTAAATGAGATCTGACAAATGAAAATAGACAAGATTCAAACGTTAATGAGCCAGTTCTTCCTATGCATCTACACAACCCTTGACAATGTAATGGGTCACCTCTTTAGATTAAGCTGATCAACTTTTCAACAATTTAATACACTGAAACTTGAAAGGGGGAAACCCTAAGATGCTTAGTAATGTGGAGTAATAAGCAGGCAACTGAAATGTTCAATAGAAAAAAGCACAGTTCACCAAAATCTCTCCACAAGGAACTATTCATTAAGGAAACTTTCACTGTTCCCACAAACGGAAGGGCCTGCTAGAGTCTAGCAATGGAGGTAGTCATTCCAGACCCTCCCTAGAATGGCCTCATGGTGCTGGCTTTCATGGATGCTGGAAAGAACCGCTCATATTTCTTTGGGACAGAGAACTTACTTCTGTTATTGTGCATGCCGCTAGGAAATAGGCCTCAGCTGTTAACCCTATTACAAGATGGCCTTCGCTGAAAGGAGCACTCTCCCAGAGCATCCTGCATTTGATGATGATTGACAAGGGTATGAAGGTTTGGCCTGCTCTCTTTCACCTCAACTGGAAAACTCCAAACCAAAGGCCATTCATTCTAAAGAACTTATATGGGGAAGAGCTTCCCTAGAAACTGCATTGCACTCCACTTTCTCCTTCCCAATCTAGATTATTTCCTTGCCCACGGGTGTCATTCAAGCACACTCCCCACAAGACCATCTGTACTCTGACCTCTGAGTCTTCTCTCTGGGAGAATTCCTCGTACCAAGACTGATCTGAGGAAGCAGATGCTGGGAGCAGATTTTGTACTTGGACGGCTATAATGATGGAGCACAGTTAGACCCTAGTTCTAGGTAGCAGTTAATCTTTGTTAAAACATGAATGAGGATGATACTGATAGAGGTTGACAAGTGTTTGAGCTTGATTGAGGCGTAGGAAAAAGCGAAAGATTGAGACTGATTATTTACAGCTAACTGGCAAAGCCTCTGATCGATGAGACTCTGATGATAGAGTCTCATCTCTTCAAATGGGAAAGTAGAGAACTCTCAGGTCCAGGGCTTGTAAGAAAAGCTGGGCTCCTGAGAGATTAATATTCCCTTAAGGGTGACCAAATATGCCAAAATCAAGGAGTGCTTGGAAAACAGAACTCATAGGGGATAGTTACAGCTTGATGGACAAACCTGAAAATCATGACTCTCCAAATTCCCCCCAAAGTTAATGAGTTTACAGAATAGGCTCATTCTCCTAGAAGTTCTAATGGTTCCTGCATGCCTCCACCCTAGCGTCTGCACCCACCTCTTTTCTGGCCCTGGGCTGGGAACAAGGATGAAGTCACAAAGTAACGAAGCCAAGGTTGTGTTGGTCCCTGCTCAGGGAGAAAAGTGATTGTGTCACACAGTTGCTGTAGGAGCTACTCACATCTGCTTGGAGCTAGGGAAGCATGTCTGAGACTGGATTTTGAGGGCAGAATATAAAGATGGGCAAGAACATTTATTGATTTCAGAGTGCTCCCCTGGTGTGTGAGATTTACACTCTGACAGGCGACCCAGCAGGCAGGGTGCACATGGCTGGGGTGGGAAAAGCTGTGGTTCACTCTAGCCAATGGCAATGCCGAGTAGTTATGGTGCATGAAGAAAGAGGGCATAAGAAGACTCCCCGAGTGGGCATGCTACATAGAGCCAGAAACCAAACTGGAGTGCTAAATGTAAAACAGGCCGACTAGTGAGAGCTCACCAGCATCACTAGAAAGTTAGTTATAAGTGTCCCCTTCCTCATTTTTCTTCTTCAAAAATTTTTATATTCCTTCTTTTCTGCATAAATTAGAAAATTATTTAAAATATTTTCACCATTAACACAAAGATAGGACAGGCAGACATACACACCAATCCATTACGCCCTGGTGGCGTAATGATTATGCATTGGGATGCTAAGTGGGAGGTCAGCCTTGGAAACCACTAGCCAATCTGCAGGAAAAAGAAGAGGCTAACATCTTAAATTATAGAGACGTCAAACTGGACTCCTGGGAATATCAATCATGAGTATTCCGTTCATGTGCAAGTCCGGTTTGTGTAGAGGACAGTGACTAATAGTTCCTCTTTAAACACACCGTGACAAGGTTGGCAGGCCCAACTCACCAGCTGCTCTGTGGGAGAAAGTTGTGGTAGCCCTGGAAACCCGATGGGGCAGTTCTACTTGGTCCTGTAAGGTGGCTGTGAGTCGAAATTGGCTTGGCCACAGTGGGTTTATTGAGTTTTCTGCTGCCCATGAGCTGATGGGAAGCGCTGTCTTGACAGTACTGGGCTGGTGGACAGCAGTGGCAGTAGGATATTTAAACCCTGAGTAAGAGAGGCTGGATGGCAGTGCTTACCAGAAACCATGTGGAAGGAATTGTCTTAGAGCCATTCTCTGTCCTATAGGGTCTCTGCAAATCGGAATTGACTCTATAGCAGCAGGTTCTTTTGGAAATGCATCCCATCCCACCCCATCCCCACTGCCGCCCCTGTCTTTGAAATCATTAGTTAGAAGCTTACATGGTAAATATTTGACGTGGAGTGCTGGAGGTGAACTCAATTTTCCTTGAAGAGAGTATGGTTGGCCCACCTGTCATTAGTGTTAATTACATTTTAAATGCTGTTTGGGAATTAAAAAAAAAAACAAAAAACATCCTACTTGTACTTTTGTCCTTATGACCATTAGGATCAACACCCACTTTGTTATTAAGCATATCTCATGTCTTATCCCTTAAGGAATACTGCCCTGCAATTGAAACAAACCCTATGCAGCAGACTATGGAGGAAATAAATGAGAATTGAATTTTATAGAAGGTCACTTGAAGTCTCTTGGTTTCATTAATCTATTGGCAAAATAAACTCAGAGCTCTACATGTGCAGAAGGAGAATGGATTTCACCTTAGAAATGTGGCAATGTAGGGTTAGGGTTAAAAAGAAAAGAAAAAAAAGAAATGTGGCAATGATAGGTGGATGAACAATCTGGAGGAGAAAACAACGGGACCAATGTTTCCGGAGGGACATGGGAGGGGGCAGGGAAGGAAGTGATGTTAACAAACCCAGGGACAAGGGATCAACAAGTGATCCAAATCAGTGATGAGGAGGGTGTAGGAGGCCTGGTAGGGCATGATCAAGGGTAATGTAACTGAGCGGAATTACTGAAACCCAAATGAAGGCTGAGCATGATAGTGGGACAAGAAGAAAGTCAAGGGAAAGGGGGGAAAGAGCTAGGAGGCAAAGGGCATTTATAGAGGTCTTAATAAAGGCATGTACATATGTAAATATATTTATATATGAGGATGGGGAAATAGATTTATGTGCATATATTTATAGATTTAGTATTAAGGTAGCAGATGGACATTGGGCTTCCACTCAAGTACTCCCTCAATGCAAGAATACATTGTTCTATTAAACTGGTATTCCATGATGCTTACCTTCCTGACACAATCGCTGAAGACAAGTGGGTGCATAAGCAAATGTGGTGAAGAAAGCTGATGGTGCCCAGCTATCAAAAGATATAGCGTCTGGGGTCTTAAAGGCTTGAAGGTAAATATCTTTTCAAGGAGCAAATGCACTTTGGGGATTCAGGTCTATACAACTGAAATCATGGTATTTTTTCGATTAGCTCATATGCATGTGAAAGCTGAATAATTAATAAGGGAGATCGGAGAAGAGTTTATGTCTTTGAATGATGCTGCTGGTGAAGAATATTGAAAGCACTGTGACTACCAGAACAACAAACAAAACTGTACAGCTAGAATGCTCTTTAGAAATGAACATGGTGAGATTTTATTTCACAGGGACATGTTATCAAGAGAAACTAGTCCGTGAAAAAGGACACCATGCTTCTTAAAGTAGAAGTTCAGTGAAAAAGAGGAAGACCTTCAAGACATAGTGGCTGGAATAACAGGCTGGCTCACACATAAGAATTTTGAGGATGTTGTAGGATGGGGTTGTCACAGGGAGCTATATTTTGAGGAGGGGACTTTAGAGGTGAGACCCAAAAGACATTCGAGCCAGGCAGGGGACCATCAGAGCAGGTGACAGAAATCACAGGTCCTGTATTAGGGGCAGCCTTTGCCTGTTTAAGGAACAGAATGAAGGCTGATGTGGCTGGAGTCTCTGTGAGGTGGGCAGAGGTCACATTGTATAGGGATCTGTAAGCCTGAATGCATTTGGAGTTTCTTGGTGCAACAGTAGGTTTTTAAAGGGTAGATGAGTGACATGATTTAATTTGTGGTTGTGTAAAAATTGAAATATAGGGAACAGGATAGGGTACAGGAATAACTATGGCGATGCTATACTTCAGAGCCTCGGGGGAGGATAGCAGCTTAGACTAGGGCAGGAGCAGTGAGATGGAAAGATGTGGGTGGGTTCGGGACACATTTTTGTTACAGTTCTGATGAGATATAGTTCATGTATGTCATTCATTCAGCTCATTGGTTTGGATATATTAAAAGGAGTTGTGCAACCATCACCATAATCAGCTGTAGAGCATTTTATTCATTTCGTACTCATTGTTATTAGCTCCCCCTTCAACCACCAACCTCTCCAATCAAAACCAAAGAAGCTGTTAATCCAGTTATTGTCTCCTTCAGGAGGGATGGTTGGTGTCCAACTAAGGTGAAAGACGGATGGAGATGGGAAGCTGGTGTTTGACCTTGGACTGAAGTGGAGATGGATTCTCCTTCTCCTTTGTGTTTCAAAGGAGATCAGATGTGGTTCCCACATCGTTTCATTTTCACAGGAGGACAGCTCTACTTTGCCTTGGGTCAGCATGAGCCAGGGTGGACTATGATGGCAACTGACTTGCCATGAGAAAGCACACTGAATTCTGTTTTATGAAAAGTGTAATTTTTGACGTGGTCACTTAAAGTCGTACTCGATCATCAACTTTACTCCGTCTGACTAAAGAGCAGCTACATGGGCTTTCCAGTTCAGGTTAGGGGGTAAAAAGTGTTTTGAAGCTATGATGAAAAGCAAATGAAGATTTTTCTAAACAAAGATTTATCAGATTTGGAGACTTGCCTAATCTTACAAAAGAGACTCTTTATTCAGCATTATAGAGAGTATAAAACCCTGACCTGCAGTGACATAGAAGCGGTGACTGCGAGGTCTGGCTGCACCCCACTTCACCCCTCCCCCCCCTACTCCACCCCCTACTCCACCCAGCACCTTAACAGTATTTCTGAGTAAAATAAGGATATAATACTTATGACTCATGAAGAGCCATCTCAGTGTTTAAAATGTAGTGTCTAAAAACAGGCGAGTCATGATATAAAAATATATGTCTTAAAAAAGCAGCCATGGGCTTGGACAGCGCCCATGAGAATTTGGGGGCTTTAAGGCTCATCATTGGAAAGGAGCTTCCACTTCAAGGAAGGATCAATTTCTTCATCAAAATCATGCAACTCCTGCTCCTTGGAGAGTTCCAGGAAAACCTGAAGGAGACAAAGGAAGAAAGAGAGAGGACCATTGCATGGTCTCCGGTGACTCTGAGTGAGCGGAACGAAGATGTGTCATGAATTCATTACAGTTTCAAGGCTGATGTAAAGTAACTACAAGGACCCACCTGTTCCAGGGTGGACTGAGACAGGCTGTACTCCTCCAGGTCGAAGTTCTGCTTAACTGCACAAAGATGAGCTGATGTTAGAGGGTCATGTCTTTTATAACCAGATGGTCTGATAATCAGACTTATAGTATAGAGAATGGTTAAAATCTTAAACAAACAGGTGAAAGTAGCAATCCTTGGTGACGTAAAGACATCCTTCCATTGCAAATATACCAGTGCATATGTTCAGGGCTGGGATGCTTGTAGTAGGCTTCTGTGTGGGGCAGGATTAGAGGCTTGGAGTTATAGGAGGAGGCAATGCTGAGACATCTTCCCTTCCTGTATGTCAGCCAGCATTTTAGCACCTCGGGCACAGTATAAAAAAGACATAGGAGGGCCAAACATCTTGGAAAAAGAATCATCAGAAAATTAGAAAGATATCTTTGGTTGTCTAGGGAGCAGACATCCCTTCAGATCTCTTTAAGAAGCCATCACAGCATCTCAGAATTGAACTGAAAACCCTCCTCATTGACCAGAATGGACTGGGAAGGGCAGGGAGAGCCCTGATAGGAACCCAGCTCTGGAAATATGCCACCAATGGTGCCAGGCCACTCCTGGCCAGAGAGTCCATCAGGAGGACATGGGACCTAAACATGGGGGTGTTCAGCTCAAAGGATGGAAAAAAGATGAGTCATTGTGACCGCAGGTACCATCAGCAAGAGTCACATGAGCCTTTTCTAGAGCCGGGATTGTGAGTCTTTCCTAGGGCATAGGACAAGTCACAAGGGCATCCCTGAGCAGTGGCAGTGAAACAGCCCAGAAAGGGAGTTCAGATGAGCTGAGATCACAAGGTAGGATGGCAAAGAACCTGGTGACAGCTGGCCAGTTTGAAAGTACAAGTTCAAGACACTTAATGGTGGAGGCTAGTTTCTTCATCTATAGCCGAGTCTCTATGCAAATATACAAGCCGCTAGTCAATTTAATTTTTGAATTTACATGCTGAGTAGGCTTCCACTCGATGACGCTAACTTTGTTTTTTCTGAGCCTCTCCTGGCAGTAGAAAGATGAGGCTTTCAACTCTCATTAAAGGACGACAGTCTTGGAAACCCACAGGGGCAGTTCTCCGCTGTCCTATAGAGTTGATAGTCGTCAGCATTGACTCCATGGGAGTGAACTTGAGTTTTGTTTTGAGTTTGAAGCTTTCAAGGAGGGTAGTCTCCGTTCATGACCAAAGATACAACTGAGTTTTGCATTATTTTGTACATTTCTGTGCATGGCCATGACACACACACTCATGCACAGGCACATGTAGGGGGCTTCCAAACATAGTGGAAAAGGGAATCAGAAAACCATACAACATGAAAGTAAAATCACTCCACTCCACCCCTTGCTCTGCACACACACATTTATACTCCTAAAGTTCTGCTTATGTTGAGCTCATTGGCAGGGAATAACCTGTCTCAGGGGATTCCATCTTGGACCTATCTCTCTCACCTGTCTCCAATTTGAAGAAAGCCTGGGATAAAGGTCGAATGTCATCCACCGGCAGCTTATAGACCAGCAGGGAGGAATACCTGCAGAGGAGAAGGAGGCTGAGCGAGTCCATGGCAGGTGTGAGCTGACTGCAGCACCTCTCGGGTCCCCATCTGTGTAAATAAGAGTCTACCTGATGTGAGTGAACAGCCTAACATGCCCCTGTGTGTGTCTCAGAGTAGAATTGTGCTTCATAGAGTTTTTGATGGCTGGTGTTTTGTTTTGTAATACTATTTTTATTGACCTACCTCACACATTCCAATATAACCATTTCCATACCGTTCTGTTGTTCAGTTCCATTAGGTGGGCTTATCAATGCTATCAGCTCCCCTTCCCTGCTCCCCCCTCTCTCATCCTGTACCCGTAAGGAACTATCCCAGCTGTCATTATCTGAGGGGTTATCTAGCTTGACTTCCATGTACTGAATGATCTTAAATATACTCATGAACATATGCAAATGGAACATGATTAATGAGGTCAAACACACAAAGCCCTTAATAGTAAGGGAAGGAAATCTTCAAGAACTAGAGGATAGTTATGTAGTTCATCAGTGCTATACCACACCCTGGATTTATCATCCTTTCTGTGTGGTCCTTCTGAGAGGGACTGTCCAATGATCTTACATGTGGATTTTGAGTCTCTGTTGCATTCACGCACTTTCACATGGAGTTGGTTGTGTGATTCTGAACTTCTAGTACCTCTTCCTCGACATCTCACCATCACACAGGCTGGTATGCTTCTTTGATGTGGGATTTGTTACTTTTCTGCTAGATGGCTGCTTGTTTTAATTACAGCCTTTAAGACCCCAGACTCTATATTTTTTGATAGCCAAGCACCATCACCTTTCTTCACCACATTTGCTTATGCACCCATTTTGTCCTCAATGGTTGTGTCAGGAAGGTGAGTATCATACAATGGCACCTTAGTAGAACAAACCGTTCTTGTACTGAGGCAAGATTTAAGTAGAAGCCCAAAGTCCATCTGCTTCCTTGTTTCATATGCATAGATATACATATTTAAACATATATATTTTCCCCTACCCCACTGTTAGATTTACCCATCTTTCACCTCTTAGTAATTCCTCTTAGATACTATTCAATTGTTCAAACAAGAAGAGCTACACACTCCTCGCCATCGATATCAGAACACTTACTACTCCCTTGTTCCGGTCATTATTGGCTTCCCACTCCCCTTTCCCCCACCCCACCCCCCCTCCCATGATGCCCAGGAACCATCGGTGCAGTCGCTGTCTTGGTAAAGTTGATGGCTGGTGGCTTTGGGAAGATGATCACCAAGTCTTTCTTCTGAGATGCCTCTGTTTGGACTTGACCCGCCAACCTTTCAGTTAGCAGGTGTGTGCATTAACCATCTGCTCCGCACAGGGGTTCCTTAGTACCGTATTGAAATACAAGTAGTGTTGGGCAGGGGTTTTCGTATTGCACAGCTCTCTTGAGAGTTTGCATGTTCTGTGTTAGGTGCACAGGTGAGTGACTTATGTGGGCTCCTTATATGCAAAGAACATGGTAGGTATAGCCCAGGTGAAAATAAGAGATTGGCTGAAGGCAGCTCCCACTTGACTTTCTAAACTGAACTCTTGATCTTGCATATCCTGCCCCAACCAGGGAGGTTCCACCATATTGCTTCCTAAGGCTTCCCAACTAGAGTGGAAATCTAGGCACAATCCTCAGGAATTGCCATACCTCTTCCTCTCTCCTTAGACCTTCTTAATTCTCCCTCCCGGTATTATTCTAATACAGGGTAACTGGACCTCCGACTGGGACACTGGAATGCTTCAGGAATGCCGCATAAAATTATGTTCGGCGGTGAACATTTTTAATCACCCATTTCTCAGATAAATGTCTATCCTTTGCAAACCAGGAAACCTGTGATTTCACTGCATGAGCTGCAGGCATATATTCACGGGGCCATTGCTCTCAGCCCTGGCACTCACTCCCTGCCGTTCCTGATGTTCAGGATGGATCTGTCTTCAGTCATGGGCTTCACCGTGAGTAACAGCGTCACTTTCCTGTTCTGCTCCATGGAGGAAATCCCTTATCCCACCTCACCATTTGCTTTTCCACCAGCTCCTTGTTCTGAGGGCTTTTGCTGTGACTGTGAGCATATTTTCCAAAGCCACGCTTTGATTTTTCCCTTCGGCATGCTTTTCTTTTCTTTTTTTTACAAGTAAATGCATTTTATTATTTTTAACATGTAAGGAATAGCAGCAAATATTTTAAACTGTATTATCATTTAAGTCTTTTTCAAAACTATAGACTGTTATAAAAAAACATGTGGCGTTTCTAATGTACATATAAATAAAATGTATAAGAGCAAAGCAAAAGGGCCCGGAGGGGAGAAAGGGAAGTGCACAATTGTGGAGTTGTTACACTGCACCCTCAGTTGATGTGGAGCATTGTTGACTCCGTTTTCAACTCACAGAGACCCCCTGTGACAGCAGAAATGCGCCCTTCATTGGTCCAGGTTGTAATCCTTACGGGAGGAGTTGACAGGTCTTTCTCCGAGGGAGCAAGTGGATGGGCTCAAACTTGTGTATTGAACCATTGTATATATGGGGGCTCCTTAGGCACATGAAGTACTACTTTAACGATGCCACCCACTGGGGATCTTATATGATTGAAAAGACTGACCTATTTGGAATAAAATTATTAGGATTACATCCTGGTCCAGCCACTGGTGAGCTCTGCCACATGTCCCAACTATCTGTTGATTTTCTTCTTCTTTTTTGCAGTTTTATCATTATTATTAACTGGGAATTAATACATAGATCATATCATTCTTTAGTTCAATCATGTGCAGCAGAATTGTACATTTGCTACCACAATCACTTTCCAAGTATTTCTTATCTACAGGGACTCCTTGACATCGTCTCCCTTCCCCCCCCCCACCACTGCCCGTCCCCC